CTCAAAACACTGGATATACAATGGTTTTAACAAAGACGCCATCACTTGCGTGAGTTGTGCCAGTAAACTGTATAAACTGGGTTGGCACTGCATCTGCATGAATTTTTAGCTACTGTGACACTCGCGCAACGATCGTGCACACCCCATGCATCATTTATCTCCTCGCATGTTGTAGCTGCTAATGTATAATATACGTGCGTCTCCTCTGCTTGTAAACTCGTATTTACATGTGATTGGTTTATTAGATTGGGCACATCAAGTACTGATAGAGTCATTATATGTGATTATCAGCCGATTCCAATCTCTGGCCAATCAATCAGAGCATCCCTAATTTGAACAGAAACTTTTAAGTCAGAATTTGCCTGGGGTGTGAATAATTTCAGGCTTGACTATGTGTGTGTGTGTGTGTACATAAACAGATCTGACTATAGTATGACAAAATACTAGATTTAAAGAGCTTTTACACGACCTTTGGGCTTGTCATTACAGTACACAGTGAAAATAATGAAAACTTTGGTGTATTTATTCTTAAAACTTGATTTATTCCATTAATTTCATTCCAAACGCCTGCATGCCTTGAATCCAGGCAAAAGAAGTTGCATTTAATGTAACATTGATCTCATATTTGCACACAGAGATTAAAAGTGCATTAGTTTTAATGCTTCTAACATGCATAAGATTATATTTTGAAGTGGTCTGATGTTGTAAATAAGCAGTCTTTTATGCAAGTCATCACTGTTGCCTTGAACATGCTGCGCTTTACCTGATTCATATCAGCTTTAGATTGAAAACAAACCAGATCAAATGTTTTAAGAGATTTTTATTCCAAGCTTTTTGAAGGTGCTAGGAATAATCTTAGCTGTTCCCCTTTTTTAAATGTATAAAAATATTATGAATAAACGTGTGAAACAAATGTCTGAAATGCATCACTTTTATGATTTGATAAATGTGTTTAATGGTCATAAAATGCTAAAACACATCTACAGTGCTCAGCATGTATGAGTTCACCCAACGTTTACATTTTAAAGGGCACCTTGGTTATCCCTTTTTCAGATTTAATATAAGTCTTTTGTGTCTCTAGAATGTGTCTGTAAAGTTTCAGCTCAAAACACCCATCAGATTTTTCATTATACCTTTTACAAGATGCTGTTTTATACATATTTCCACCAGGGGGTGGTTTTGTCGTACTGCGCCTTTAAGGCGAGTCCTCCCCCCTACTGTTTCTACGTGCCTTCCTGCGTGCTTTAATCTCCTCCCTCGGCTGCGTCAGACAACAGACAGACTTAAAGGAAGAAGGTCTCACGTAGCGTTTGTGAGAAATACTACAGTAAGAACTTTACTAATCAGTATTTGTTGTGAAGTTGCATTGATGAGTCACACGCAATATCGTTTCAAAGTTCACGCCCACACACACACACACACACAGATACACACGCAAACCGCAGCTGACACTCACACAGACAGGCAGACAAAGTGCGCTTAGCTTTGCACTGTTTGTGCACTCAAATTTGACAGGATACAGGCTAATCTCCACTGCTGTGTGGATATCTGTTATGTTATTGTACAAAATAAACCTAATTTAACGTCTACAAACCGGGATTGAAGCGTCTTCCGTTATAATTGTTCTGACACAGCTGTGCTGATGAAGTAAAGCTGAAGTAAATCGCTGTAATTAATTACACATGTGCACATGTGAAACTTACTCTTAATCACATTTGATGATGATTGCTGATCCTAGCGAACTGAACAGACCTTTTATTCACGGTTGCTTTGCGTATGTCTGGTCTTGTTGACATTTACACGTGACTACCGGGACATGTTAATGCGCGCAGCTGTCAATCAATTCGGTGGGCGGGGGGACCGCACTCCTACGTAAGGTTGCAGTCGGTCTGAAAACCGCTCTAATTGGTCCACCGTTTTTATGTTGTTAAATTGAAAAAAAAAGGACTGTGTGTGTTTATATCACCCCAATATGATGGTCTTTACAGTATATATACACATATGTCTGTCCAAATAGCTTGAAAAGTAGATTTTTCACCATAGGTGCCCTTTAAACAAGTGGCAAAAGGAATGGGATGCATTAGAAAATTATAAATTACAAGAAATCCAACCTGAAATCTACATGATCATTTCTTGGCTGTTTTAATTTGGCTTGAAATGCTCACAGACCTTAACAAATGCACATGATAAACATGTTGGTTTACTCTAGTCAAGTTTTTTAGTGTATCCCCAAATCACGTATGATTTTAAATGGAAAATCACTACTGGACATTGCAGATCCTGCGATGTGGCTATTGCCGATGGGCACATTGCGATATCGATGCTGAAAATATGTATTGTGCAGCCATGGTTCACACAAATTAATATGTTGGGGAAAATATTAAATACCATTTTATTAGACATGAAAAATTCAGGGAAACATGAAAAATATTAAATTTAGTTGAAATTTTGTAGTTTATAAATTTATTTTTGCAATAACTTGATTGAATTTAAATGTGTCATCTTTATTCCTAAAGATGTTAGATAGACAAACTCTAATTTTAACAGATATAACTGTTTATTTAATAAAACTGTTTTGTTTAAATGCACTAGAATTAATGGCTACATCCACTGAGAAATCAATAAAAATATACATTTTCAAAAGAGGGTGTACTTATTTATGCTGACCACTGTATGTTAAAGAAGAGTAAATTTTGCTTTTTAGTATAAATGCACAAGTGATTTTATTTACAAAGTTAATTTGCTAAAAATAAAAAGCAAAATGAGCGTTTTCTAAAAAAAATCCAGTTTTAGGAATTTTCATGAATCAAATATTTTTGTTTGCAATTGAACTTTTCAATGTAAAAATAAATACAGGGTTTCTGCAAGTCAAATTTAAGACTTTTAAACACCCTTTTAGGACCATTATAAATACAATTTTAGACTAAAACAGGGCTAAACACTAATGATTATTTCTAATGGCCTGGTTGGACCAATGGAAATGTATTTATTTTTTGCTTGCCACAAAAAAATCTAATATAATTATTTCTTAGCGAAATACTTTGTGTCAAAACAAGAAAACTGTAGTATATAAATATATATTTAAATGAGTAGTTTACCATTGTTAAAAGTATATTTATTGTGGAGGCAATTACATAAATAATCAAAAATATATATTTGTTGGCTTTTGGTCCAAATTGATTGAGTAAAACTTCTATTCAACCGAATGCGTTTCTCTTACAAAAAACTTTAGTTTCATGCCTGTTTATAAAAATGATGTCTACTCCCCCTTTTATAGAGATAACATAAAGGATATAATGCTCTGTTATTATCATATATATATATATATATATATATATATATATATATATATATATATATATATATATATATATATATAAAGGTTTTATTGAGATGAGTTGTTGGTGATTGGATGGATATCAGCCCAATTGGGTAGCTTTAAATAAATATATTTTTTAAATGATTTAAGACCTACAGCACAAGATTTTAGTGAATTTAAGATTTTTAAAGACCTAAAATTGTTTTTTGTTATTAATTTAAGACATCTGTAAGACCCTGCAAACACCCTGTAAAAATTGGTATCTGAAAATTACTATTACTTGTTAAAAACACTAGTTTTTATAAATAAACTCTTCATACAATGAAATAATTATTAATCTAATTACAATTTTATTATTACTTTTGTGAAAATGTTAAAAACGGTGAAATGAAATTCCATGTTTTTCTGTGTACACGATAATTGCCAAAATGAAGCTACATATTTATTCTGTCCTGGGCTTATTAAAATTATATCGAAGGTTTAGTGATTGTAATAAGTTAATGTATTAAAACATTTTAAAAATGTATTGCTTGCAATTACTTAAAACCTGATTTGAAGGATACTTACAAATATTTTGGGTCTTAAAATTAGTATTTTTATGATTCTTAATATGCGATTAGATTTTAGTGAGTGTCTTTTGTATGTTGCTGTTTTGTGTAAAGAAAAAAATCAAGTGGGACACATTGTAAAGTGGTGGAACGATTTAAGCTGTAATACTGTTTTATGCTTTTATTGTTTTGATTCTTGTCTTTGACCAAACGCAAACCACCATATCATTTGAAAAGTTAAAAGAAAAAGTGTTACAAATTCAGCAAAGAATTTAATAATTTAAGCATGGCAAATGCAGCTTTTAATATGTGCAGTAGTTGCATTTGTTAAATTGTTTAATGTGATATAATATTGCATTACACAAGCAAGAATAAATTTATATGACACATACAAATGCAATACTGGAATAAAAATCTGATTTAATATTGTGGTTAATCGCTGTCAGTCGTCCACTTGAGGTCACACACCAGTGCGATGTGATCAGACGGGTGCGAGATGCTTGGCAGTGCCACACAGTTGCTCACCTCCTCCAGACTGGGCAGAGGAATGACCTGCTCCACCTGCAGCGTCCGCGGCTCCACAAAAATATAATCCAGACACCCCTGAAATCCTCCTACGAAGTTGGTGAAGTCCGGGACTCCACATGCGCTGGACAGCTGGAACGGGTTGGTCAGTCCTAGTCGGATCTGCTCTTCTGGACCCCCGGAGCCCCAGTCCTCATGATCCTCCGGGATGCAGCCCTGACTGAGCAGCTGGAAGAGGCCGGAGGACGGAGTGCTGTTAAAATCACCCGAAAATATGAGTCTGGCGCCGGGATGCTTCTCTGTCACCACCTGCTTCATGTGTTCCAGAGCCACTGCTATCTGGACCAGACGAACGTTTCCTCCTGATCACATTAGAGAATGTATGTTATTTTATATATAAACAGCTGTTTCTGATTTCCTTAATTCGACTAAAGTCATAATTGAACTAAGCAGAAATCAGATTTTAGGGCCGATTTTAGTGGCCGTATTGAAGTGCAGTACAGACATGTGAACACCGCAATCAAACTATTACCATAGTGTAGGATTTTTCGCCGCAGATTAATCTATACACACACACACTGCTGTCAGTAGCTATGTTTCCATCCAAAAATGCGAGTAAACTTTATGCGCAAAACTGGATTATCGCATAAAAGTTGTGCGAATGAAGCAGCGTTTCCATCCAACGAGTCAAAGCGAACAAAATCGTCACTTCCTGATTAACTGGCGCCAAAAATCAACAGTAAAAACTGCATTTGCTGCAGTAGGAGAAGCTGCATCAATCTTTTCTAAATGAATGCGCCTCAGAAGACAATCCTGACATGCAGTGAGCGCGCAGTGGCGTTTGAAGGTGTCAGACGCGGAGCACAGGCGCTCTTGATTCTGGAGGTCATTAATAATATAATAACACTAATACTGAAATGGTAAGGCGTTTTATAATGACCAAAACAACATTTCAGATGTTTTATAATGTGCTCAGCTTGACGTTTTGTCCATTCATACACATTTCAAGCATCACATGATCTCTTTTAACAAAATCACATGACCTTTTTTAATGCGCATGCTGGAGTTTGTGCGGTAAAAGTGTTTCCATCGCAGTTTATGCGCATCTTTTCTTATCGAATAAAAAGTTTATCCTACGCAGTTAGGCGCATATGTTTTTTATGCGCATTTTCAAGATTTATGCGCATCATGGCGTTTCCATCAACTGGTTTTATTTATGCGCATTTGCAAAAATATTTGCATAAAATAGGTGGATGGAAACATAACTAGTGTCCAAGTCAGTAAAGGAACACAGACACCTGCATCGCGTATGGGAGTTTTTTTTTCCCATACTGCGTGCGATATCAAATTCCATTAAAGGGTCACGAAACACTAAAACACATGTTTTGAGCTGTTGACAGTCGTATATGTGTCCCACACTGCTAAAAACACTATTAGGACACCTATATTTCACTAATAAGTGAAAATTGGTTGTTTTTGCGTTATTTCAAGCAAATTCGTACTTCCGGTTTGAAACGAATTTTTGAAGCTTCGTCACGGTCATGACATAATAGCGTGTATTCCAGCGTGCAGACTGAACTTCTGTACCAAGGCGTCCCGTATTACGTCTCTGAGAGTGCTGCATTCATTCATGAGTATGACTTGGTTTAAACCAATCAGCGCGCTCTATTGTGTATGCGCTGCAACTTCATTAATATGCATGCTAGCTTTCTTAGACTGTACCTGAAACAGTGTTCAGACGGCAGAGAGACAACACACGTCGTGTTGCCAAAAGTTGTGGGAAAAGAATAAGAATTGTTTGGAGATACGGGTCGCCAGTGTTGCTTTCGTAATGTGAAGGTTTTGTTTTCCTTTTCTCTCTATGTGAGCACTGCTAGGCTCACGCGCGGATCCGTAGACGCGACGCGTGGCAGAAATGCGTTTGTTTGGAACATTTTTTTTAACTCGAGAGCATTTCTCATCAATGGTGAGATATGGATTTGCTTCTCGTCTCCTTTAAAAAAAGACGCAGCTCCAGTTATTGTTGATTGTCCTGTCTACAGATTCGGTAAGTGTGTGCGATCAGCGCCCTTTCTTTGTTCGTTCAGATGGCAAAGTTATAGTTAGTATGGTCAGCAGTATTCTTTCAGTGTTTAAAGACAGACCTTAGTCAAAATTATTTCTAAGCTACTTAGTTTACAGTACGTTAATATCACTACAATATTGAAAGATCTACTGTAAATGCTGCTATCTGTAAGCAAACTTTTGCCGACCGTCGTGTTGAATTTTCACCGCATTTTGTGACAGGATAGTCCACACACACACGGCTTTCTGACCTCCTGAGTGCATCTGAGGGTGCTTTCACACCTGTGAATCGATTCAGTTGTTCTGAAACAGAGATTACAAATGTTACATTGTTGCTCTTTGCTCTTGGAGCGGTTCGCTTTCACACTGCAAAGTTTCTAATCGGACCAAAAGAGCTAAAACAAGTCACGTGCGAGTAAACTCTCCTCACATTGGTCAGTGTCAGTGTTTATTTTGCAGCGTCCCGCTCAGCTGTCAGGAGAGGTGGTGGTTTGGTGGTGATTGACAGGGTGCGCGCGCGACATGTCTGAGGAGAGACGCGGTGGGGAGGGGTGAGAAGTGTGCGCGACGATGACTATTTGAGGGAGGGAGATGCAAGATTACCAGGAGATCATCACTCGTTTGCGGGCATCCGGAGACTCGCGAAACTTCCCGCCCTACTCATAATTCTCTCTTCATATAGCCGTAAGCCTATTACATATGCATAAAACACTGTGATATAACCGCGCTCGGATCGCATCGCATTCTCACTGCAATCGAACCGCTCCAGGGTTCGTTTCAATCGAGCCGAGACCACCTCATTCAAGCGATCTCGGAGCGATTACTTTGGCGCGGAACAGAGCGCGATTGCCCTGTTCACATATGCCAAACGAACCGCGCTAACTGGGCAAACGAGACACGTTCCCAAACAAAAGTGTAGGTGTGAAAGCACCCTGAGTTACAGAGAAATGCAGAGGCTTTTTTCTCTTATACGACATGCGGTATCAAACATCCCACCGTCATTAAACACACTGTCTCCCCTGCGTGTGTGTTTGTTTGTACTCGGTCAGAAGCGCGTGCCCAAATGGCAACTCCCATTTTTATTCAAACCCTGCCCATTTTTCCACCCCCGACACTCCCACCCAAACAAAGCCAGACACGCCCACTTTCCTGACTTTTTTCCAAACTAGAGGTGTGAAAACATCCTGCTGAAACGGGGGGTTTCATGGCCCTTTAAAACAACACTCTTCCAGCAGGTCATACTCGGATCCAATACCTCAGTTTTTTTGGGGGGGGGGGGGGGGGGCATGCATGAAATGTTCCTGAGTGAAAGTGAAACTGCATCTCGAGTTGACAAATTAAAAAGGAAACACCCGAAATTACATGAAACTTAGGAGGAAATTTGTATGACTCAATGATGTTAGTTGATCTTTGTGCTATAACATGTAAAATGAGATCATGAAAGGAACATTCACAAAGCAACTCATGTAAAAACTTATTCAGATTAAGAAATAATTCGATTACTGATGTCCATGTAAACGTAGTCATTAATAAAAAGGAATCAAGAGTAATAATAAAAACATGAATTATTTTAATTTGATTTAAAAAGAATAAAATAAAAGGTATCAAAATTGAGACTGGCATGTTAGAACATCTTAATGGAAAAATGACTTGAAGACAAAAATAAGCAGTAATTACAAATTGTCTTATTTGCATTTGCCACAGTGTTTAGCCTTGAAAAAGTGACTTTTATTAATGTTTGTAATAGTCTGCAGTGCTGTATTGTCTGGTTTGGTGTTGTATATTATGCTACAAACACCTTGTAATAAACTGCCAGTCCATTTTACAGACTTAATTTTCTATAGATATTATACATTATATTATTTCACAATACTAAAATGTCAGTAAAAGTCACTTTGTTAAATGGCTAATGCAATTCACAAATGTAAGTTAACAGAAAACACTTGTGAATTACAAAATACAGGGAACTGTTGATTTGTTTATATAAATGTATGCCTTTACAGTACAATACTAAATTATTCATCCACTCATTATGCACTTCAAGCTCAATACTAGTATTTTGCAGAATAACTAGTCAAATAATATGTGCTGTCATCATGGCAACGACAAAATCAGTTGCTTTAACCATTCTGTTTAAATATGTATTACAAAATGTTCAAAGTTAAACAGAACTTGGGAAATATTTGGAAAAGATATTAAGTTATAAATGAGGGCTATATATTTTATTGCCTTTAACTGTAGAAAACCCTTTTATTCAAAGAGCAGGTACCTTCAGGGCGCCAGTACAGGTGTGTGTTTCCTACACATAATATCCTTGACGGGTCACACAACGACTGTAAGACGGTCACCTGAGGAATTGGGGAATGCATTTTTGTTAGTTTTGCATTGAGACATCGTTGCTTAAAGTGGTTTTCAACAAAGAGCTTTTTGATACAAAAGATACAAAAGAGAGTGAATGCAAGCGTAAAAATAATACAACTCAAATAAAATATTGAATTAAATATTTTATTTTTTTATTTACAAAAAAAAAAAAGGAATCAAGAATGAGACTAAAACATTTTAATGGAAAATGACATAATAATAAGCCATAATAATGACAAAAATAAGCCATAATTAGTCTTTGTTTGGATTCGAGAAAAAATTATCAAAGAAATATATGAAAAAAACAAAACAAATTGAGTACAAATGCTAAATAAAATAATAAAATGCATTAAAATATTGCAAAAAATATGACAAATTTTTATATATATATATATATATATATATATATATATATGTAGCGCCACCTAGGTGTATTAAGTTTAAGATAGCGCTCCAGGTTCAATACACTAAACGCCTACAGATATGTTGAAGTAGGCCCCTCTGATATATTTCAATGACGTAATGAAAATAAGGCAGATGAAAATATAAATATTTGTTGTGTTTGAATAAATTACCAGAAATAAACTCTGTGAATAATAAAACTCTTAGATAAATCAGAAAATATAAATAATTTAATTAGAATAGAAATGTAAATATTGGGAAAAACCCCAGATGTAAAACAAAATACAAAATATAGAATTTATGCACAGCTAAAAAAACAGTAAATTGACCCAAAGTCAAACCCAGCAATTTACAGTACAATGAAGAATATTAATTAAACCAATATAGAAAAATACCACCTTTCTACACTCTAACAATTAAACTTATAAATCAACAAGTGACTAAGAGTAACTGAATATGTTTCTCTTTGAAAGTGGCTACAATTGTGTCACTAAATTACACACTGAATTAAACCTATATAAACTATTAGTATAAATCTATACTGTAAAACACGCAGCAGTATTTTATGCTCACTGCATCTCCATAAACAACTCAATACTCTGTGGGCCCACACACTCACACATTCATACACCCCCCGTTGCAGGCCTGTATCGCTGCTAGTGTACGTTGTGGCCGGGAAAATGAAAATGGCCTCTTCACTCTCCTGAGCACAAATAAAATTAAACAAGATACCTCAGATGAAGATGACCTTGATCAAGATGACAGCAAACCAGATGCCAGCGATCCAGATGACAGCGATCCAGTTGACAGCGATCCAGATGCCAGCGATCCAGATGACAGCGATCCAGTTGACAGCGATCCAGATGACAGCGATCCAGTTGACAGCGATCCAGATGACAGCAATCCAAATGACAGCGATCCAGATGACAGCAATATATGACAGTTCTCCAAACTGACAACACTTGTGAACAACGGGCCAACGAGCCGCGATCGATCGGCGAACTTCTGCCGCGGGTCTTTCAAATCCTCACTTTCACTTTTTCTCCCCAGCTGAGGAGAGACAAGTCTCATGTAGTATTCAGGCTTTTTGTGGTGCTATTTGCTCCTCTTTGACTCTTTCAGCGTTGTTTCATGCAAATCTAACAGTCTCTCTTTTTTCTCCTCCTTATTTTCGGTCTAACCGTCACTCCCTCAGTTCAGCTTTAGTCCTCCGTAACTGTCCGTTGACAATCTAGGCATTTAAAAAATGCTCACTCACTCTGAACTGACTAATAACTGACACTGGAAACTTATATGATGAAGACACACCGCGAACTTAAAACAAACACAAAACAAACTCAAAGTAATCAAAAACGTGTTGTTCACACGCAATATATATTCACTTGTTTTTATACTCCGTGAATGTTACGCAATCAAAACAGCCGCGACGCGAGTCTCCCCTTCAGTTTCCAAAACTGCCGGCTGTGTCCCCTCTCTCCGCTCTCTGTTCCCAACAGCCAATCACATTTCACAACCCCCACCAGAGGGCGGGACTACACGCATATAAACCAATCATGTAGGAACACCTACCAAACTTGTTAACCCCATGTATTTCAGTGAAGGTTGATCAAACTTGCTATCTTATCATATTCTCAGAGATAGACGCTCATATATTACACATCAACATTAGGATGCATATTCACAAATGAATGCAAAACACATTTTAGATTTAATTCTGTTCTAGAACCAATATGAATAAATAAATAAATAAATAAATAAATAGATAGACAATAAATAAATAAATAACCTTAAGATTACTTTAAAACTTAACTTGTAGAACTTCATTCTACTGGGTTACATGCTCCCCCTTCTAAACATCTCATGTCCTCATGAGATTACCTCATTAAACTTCAATAGTGATCTCAGGCTCAGCACAATTGCTTACTTGAACACAATGAGTACACCGTGCCATAGGGTGGCACCACACTGTATTACAAAACTTTGGTGAACTATCCCCACCTTGTACTTTTACAACCATTCCTCTGTGAACTAAGGTTAAAGACTTGTTAGTGGGTCTCCCCAGACAATCATAGCTCAATCGGTCTATAGGTCTTGTGTTTCTCTTAGGTCGCACATGAACATGCTCTACTACCTCTCTAGTAGTATTGGCTGTTCCAGGATCTCCCCCTTCTAGAGCAGGATCTTCAAGCTCCTCAGGAGTCTGCTCCAATACTGCTTCGTGGCCCTGGTCAGTGACTGATGTGTCATCCATCTCTGCAGCGGGTGTTTCCAATTCATCCTTATTGTAAACTGCTTCCTCATTTATTGAAGATTCCTCCTGTGTTACATACTTTTGAGTTTCATCGACCCTATTCGGGTAGTAATACCACAAGTCATCCTCTTCACTGTCTGAGTCATTTCTCAATCCACTTCCTGTCATGTTCTGATTTATTTCCTTTAATCCTCTTCCATATTTTCTCCCCACAGATTCTGTCCTGATCTTTGTTGGAGCAGCTGTATTTTGAATTTTTCCTGAATCAGACAATCTCACATCATCCCCAACAGGTAAGAGATGGTCTCTGTGAAGAGTCCTCACACTTCCCATCCCAGATTCAGGTTTTAAACGATATACAGGTAAGTTATTCAGCTTTTCAACTATCAGGTAAGGAACAGAATTCCACTTGTCACCAAGTTTGTTCTTTCCAGTCATACCCAGATTTCTTGTCAGCACACGATCTCCTACAGCCAGTGTCTGATGTTTTATGTGCTTGTCATACAATCGTTTGTTTCTCTTTTGACTTTTCTGTGCAGTTTCAGTTGCCAACTGATATGCTTGTTGTAACTCTGACTTCATTCTTTCTACATATTGTCGATGGCTACCAGCTCCTTTTCCATCAGGTGAAGTTCCAAAACACACATCCACTGGCAGACGAGCCTCTCTTCCAAATAGAAGATAGTACGGGGAATATCCAGTTGCATCATTCTTAGTACAGTTGTAAGCGTGCACTAATCGGTTGATGTGCTGACTCCATCTGTGTTTCTCCGTAGGATTCAGAGTACCGAGCATGGACAGCAGTGTTCGGTTGAATCTTTCTGGCTGAGGATCTCCTTGTGGATGATAGGGTGACGTTCTGGATTTTCTTATACCAAGCATGTTAAGCATTTCTTTTATGAGACCACTCTCAAAGTCTCTTCCCTGATCTGAGTGGATTCGGGTGGGTAAGCCATAGTGAACAAAAAATTTGTCGCACAGTACTTTGGCCACAGTTAGTGCTTTCTGATCTTTGGTTACAAATGCTTGTGCGTAGCGAGTGAAGTGGTCGGTTACAACCAGAACATTGCTTAGACCTCTGGAGTCAGGCTCAATAGATAAAAAGTCAATACATACTAAGTCAAATGGCCCATTGCTGGTTAGGTGGTTCAGTGGAGCAGCCTTCTTAGGTACTGTTTTTCTTGTTACACATCGCCCACAATTCTTAACATACTGCTCCACATAGCTAGACATTCGGGGCCAATAGAATCGATCTCTCAGTAGTTCAGTTGTTCTCTCTACCCCCAAATGACCAGAGTCATCATGCAAGGAGCGCAGTACATGGGACCAATACCTTGAGGGTAAGACAAGCTGTATATTTTCCTTTCTGCAGGAACTGTTGGTGACTCTGTACAGAAGTTTATTCTCAATTTTCAACTTGGGTCCCTGCCGCCGTAACAGAGCAATTGAATCATCTGAACTCCTAGTATCAGTAAGTATTTGTCCAGACTCCAATTCTCGCTTCACTATACCAATTACAGGATCTTCATCTTGAGCCTTACTTAACTCCTCATGGCTCAACTGTTCCATAGGACTGAAACTCAATGAAGTGGGACAAGCAAATGCTTCTGGGATACTGTGAGGAGAGACACATAGATGATCCACTAGCCTGGAGGATGACTCATCACTTTCATTAATTCTTGCCAGCTGGCAAATAGCTTTTACTCCTGACTTTGAAATTTCCTTCCATTCTGTTGAGATAGCAGATTCAAAGGGGTAGCGTGACAATACATCAGCATCCGTGTTGTGACTCCCAGGCTTGTATTGTAAGCTAAAGTTGTATGTGGCTAAAGCAGCTAACCATCGGTGACCTGTTGCACTCAACTTGGCGCTGGACAGCACATAGGTAAGTGGATTGTTGTCTGTTTTCACCACAAACTGAGCCCCATAAAGATAATCATGGAACTTGTCCACAACTGCCCATTTAAGCGCCAAGAACTCAAGCTGATGAATGGGGTAACGCTGCTCAGATGCACTCAGCTTTCGGCTTGCATAGGCTACTGGCCTAAGTCCACCAGGATGCTCCTGATTCAAAACAGCTCCCAGACCATTAAGGCTAGCATCCACATGAAGAACATAGGATTTGTTAGGGTCGGCGAAAGCAAGTACTGGGGCATGTGTGAGACAATAAATGATCTTGTGAAATGCTGCTGTACAGTTATCATCCCAACGCTCTCCAAAAGGCTCAGACGTTTTGTGATATTTTCTGACATCTGCGGTCTTTTTGTTTTGGCCAGATGTTGGTGGGTACCCTTTAGTGAGTTCTGTTAATGGCCTTACAATGGCTGAGTAGTC